ATGATAGCTCTTTTTAATTTATGCTATTCCGGTCGGATTATAGAATGCGGAATATACTTTCCCTATGCCGCTAAATCGGAAATGTCTAGTCCAACATCAACTTGTAACCATTTATTAGCCATTCGAAAATTGAGAAGGGAAATGGGTCGAGTTGGCATCGCAGTACATTGTGGGTCAATTGTAGCAGACTAGATAGACGCCATCTTGGAAATATGTCTCGTAAGACAATCCCACCATTCAATGCAATATCCAAGTCGACCCAGTTTTTTCCTCTACCTTCGGAATAGCTAGTTTTAGTCATTCGAGTGAATCTCGGAAAGGCTATATAGTGTTTTGATTAATGATCCAAGAGGTTCCGTGCATTCATTGTCTCGTGCAGGATAGAAACCATTTAAAACTCACGATAAGAATTGATTCCTGTCTTTCCTAARGATTTCTCACGCTAATCACGAAATTGTAGATTTCTTTTGCTGCATGCAATGAGTGAGGGAAAATCGCCTAACCACAGGAACGTTTTGAAAATTCCGCACGCCTGATATCTAAGTTCGTATCAACCGGTTGAAAATCAACGCATTTTTTGCTGAAATAGTTAAGTGTAAATGTTTGAACTATGTAATAGCATTTGCTGGAATATGTTGCAGCCTTATACATAAACATTAATAAAAAAAAGACTAACACTTCACTTCACTTCGCTGAGATAAAAAAAAAAGAGAGAAATATTTAAAGAAAGCAAAAATTTAAAGGAAGGAGTGAGAGAGTAGCGAATGCAAGATTGCATGTAGTGTTCATCGACAGATTAAAATTGGTCATCAATCAATTCTTTTACGAAGACTTCTCCGCCTTATTTTCTACTTATGTCCATAGATGTTCCATATATAACTTTTGAAACTGTTAAGCTAACTTCAAAGCTTTCAAGCAGACACGCTGTGATCCAATTATTCAAAACGCTACGAGTTCTCTATTAAAAGGACGTGCCGTTCAATGAATCATAATTGGAACCATTCAGTCGGCGATACTCTCAACGTCTAACAGTCAACTCCAGCTATGCTTTCTTGCTGTGTAGATATTTGACCATCGATTCACCAGCAACACACACACACACACACACACACACACACACACCGCCATCAGAGTCCCTTCAATTTATTTGGATATTAAACCAACTGGTCAATCGTCGTCTGAGTCTTCTTGTGGAGAAAGATTTTGTAGATGATTATGATCGAAGCAGCCGTGATATCTCTAAATAGCTCGTGATTTGCACAAATGGATGAAAAATAGGGCACATGGAAAGACGATTACCCGGTTTAGCCTTGGGCTAAGTTATACAAGAGAAAGACTTAGACAGGAGCTTCAATAAAACCCACATGTGATCATACTGAGAATTCCTTACTTCAATCATGGACATGAGAACTCAATGTCCAATACCTTCATAAAACACTAATTCCCAAACCGCCTATCATGAGATTGAGAATCGGAAGCCTTATTCAATGATCGAGTTGTTTAGTAAACATTTAGTTAAAGCTCAATCTACATATTTAAATACCGTTAAGTATTAACACACGGTAACCATTAATAAGAGATGACAGCCTTGGAATAACAAGGAATAATGGATGTTCAATGATTCCCGCGCGGTGGACCCATGCAGAAAAATAATGTCAGGTATTTTTAGGATTACGAGATTATAAGCTCGCACATACTAGGGAAAGGTGAATTGAGCCCTCCGAGACTGATAAATGTGTTAGGGGAAAGATCACTGCACAAAGTGAGGAGAAATGGAAAATGCAGGTGTGAGACTATCAAGGAATCATTACCACAAGATCGACCTATAAAGGTGTCGAGCCACTGATATAAATAAGAGATTCTATTTTCAAAGGGAATGGTTGATCGCCAACTAGACCTTTTCAGCTTTGGCGTAATGTTTTCTCATTTTAGACCACGTGTCATTCTCTTGAGAATAAGATTGTTTGTTTGAGTTGTATCCATGTTCATGTGACTTCTCCATTATTTAAAGAATGTTTGAAATGAGAAAGCATTGCACCCGAAGAGCATTGTATTTGTCTTTGCTGTTAACACCGTTATTTTGTTTCCATTGCAGCACATCGTGTGGTCATTATCATGTTAAGCTGTGGTATATTAATGTCTTGTGTTTAAGCAATGTTCACCCAAGTCTTGTTGATCCAAAAATGTCGAGCATCTTAATGACAATACCAACAGTCGTCCAAATGAACACTCTTTTACACGCTATAATCTCATCATTTAGACCAAAGCCAAACAAAACCGCTTTTCTCGACTATTAAAACTACGTTAGCCCCTTTAGCTGTGAATAGAAGTGGTTTTTAAGAGAAATGTGCTTGGAAAACTTGATTTGGCCCCCTTCCCCTTCACCGTTGGAGTCATAGTAGGTAAGACTTGCGCACCTCCACAAGTTTGTGTGTGTGCTCTATTTGACTTTCAAAATTCTCTCTTGACTATTAAAACCGCATTATTTCACTCTTCAAAACGTCCTGGATTTAGTAGGAACATCACACTTAAACGAGAAATCACCCTCTTGCAGCGTTTGAATAGACACTTCATCCATGTACCATTTTTGTTGGAACCACACTATGCGTCAAAATATGAGCTTCAATTCAACTTCTTCTCTCCTCGTGTAAAGGAATTAGTCAAGAATATTTGTGGACTTAACAGCTGCTTAAAGTTCGAATTCTAAGATTCATAAAACATGTGCGTCTCTTTAGTATTATTTCTTTATCTACCAAAAACGCCTTCAAAAAATGTCTACTTCAAATATTTTTCGAGATCTGAAAAAATCGAAACTAAATGAATCATATATCAACAAATCAGGATCAGTTCCCAAAACCTATTCTCGCTAGTTCATTACGATGTTAGAGCAGTTTGGGCTTGACTTTGAAAGGCTCATTGCCATAAGCGTGCCGTTCCGTGACCGTGATGCTTTCTAGAATTTTAATTGGCGGATTCTTTTCTAGCGCAATGTGATTGGTCTGACAGTGCCGTGACCTTGGCGTGACCGTGTCCGCGCCGTGTTTAACAGTGTTCCGCGTACTTGATTGGATGAAGAGTAAATTTTCTAGCAACGTGATTGGTCTGGCGTATGCCTTACCGCGTCACGACCGTGTTCACGCCGTAAGCGTTTAACGATCATGCGAAGGGTTAGGCTTCACAAATTTGCAACGTCCCCTGTGATTGGTTAGGTTTAGAGGCGGGGTTGGGGAAAGGTCATTGTTTTCTATTGTTCTACACATGTGCGCCCTCCAATAGGATCACATCTTGCAAATTCGTGAAGGACGACCCYATGCGAAATCTGCTCTGATGTAAATACGAGGTCCGCGTCTCATTTCGGCCAATTGCTTGACCCAATCTCTTGAGCGAGGGCCAAAGGGACTACGCCTTTTTTCTTTAGTATATCGATTGGTAATAGAACAATGAATTAAATTTAAGAGGAAATTTGTTTCAATAATGCGCAAAAATGGCAAAAAGCGCAAAAACTTGTACAACAGCCTTTCTTCAAGAAAATAGTTTTTGGCTCTCAATGCTTGAATACGAAAAGAATTCTCCCTTAACGTATACTTAACTAGGCAAYATATACTCGTCACACTGTAATTTAACTTTATATACTTATCTATTTTAAAAATATATACAATAGTGGTTAACAATGAAATTCTTAATCTATATACACGATTCTCATAGACTCTTTAACTGTTTTGTCCTTCATTTTCCAAATCTTTAGCTATCGAGGCGCGAGTTTAAAATCACTTAGTTTTTATGGTGAATGGAAGGTTACACCTGTTCGTCTTTGATGTCCTCAAAGACTCGACTTAAACATATATATCATGTCTGTTTATTCGAGTGTGATTGGGATGGACAAAAAGTTATTTTCATGTGTCTTATATATCTTCCACTAAAATCATTCCGTTTTTCTTATGTGATGCATAATGTTTATATACATTGACTTTGTCTTTCTTCAGTAAGGATGTTGCGTTCTTGAACGAAGCACTCAGTCTATTGATAAATTAACATTCTGCAAGGTATTCTCAACTGATCAATCATTTGAATGCTCTATATCTGTTTGAAAGGAAAATATCCGATACTGCAAGTTCTTATTAGACTTTTGGTTTTGATCTGACAGAGCCGCAACTCGTTGCAGTTCCATGGAAAGAGTGCAAAGAAATTCTGTGCATGCCGCAGTTGTTTGGCATAGATGGGGTGGAGTTGTCTAAAACAGTGGATCCATATAGTGCTGAATACTGAAAAACACGAGCAGACCTGAGGTGAGACTCGTGGTATTCCATTGGACAGTATAACTTAGACGAATAAGTGCAGAGAAACTTGCTGCAGTAGTCTAAATTAGTTAGGGTGAAGCTGACCAAGAACAGCTTGGATCCATATAGTGCTGAATACCGAAGGACACGGGTAGACTTGAGGTACGACTCGTGGTATTCCATTGAACAGTATAACTAAGACGAATGATTGCAGGGAAACCTTGCTGCAGTAGTCTGAAGTAGGTAGGGTGGAGCTGACCAAGAACAGCTCGGATCCATAGTGCTGAATACAGGGGGATATGGGCAGACTTGAAGCCATGGTGGACTACAGCGTAATGTTGCGGTTCTCTGGATTTCGTAGTTGAGTTGGAGAGCTTCACCAACATTTTCTCTTTTCCACTTGGTTCTTCGGTTCTGGAACCATGTTTTAATCTGTCGATTCGTCAGCTGTAAAGACCTCGCCATCATGTCTCGTTCGGCAATTGTCAAGTATTTGCTAAATTTGAATTTGTCTTCTAGACATTTGAGTTGAAAGCTGGTAAAAGCTGTCCTCTTGCGGCGTTTCTTGGTCGATAATCGTTCGCGTTTTTCCAAAGATAGGTGTTTACTTGGCGATACTTCTTTCTCGCTGTAATCGTCGTGAAAACCCATATCTGAAAAGCGAAAGAGTGCATTTGGTATGCGTGAGAATAAAGCACGATGTTATGCACGTCGTCGAGAACTGTGATTGGATGCTCACGTTCTAATGCTTTTTCATTGGAGTAGAGTTCTTAGATGGAAACCATTTGAAACCCGACAAGAGTAATTCAGTGTCAAAGTTTTTCCAAGGTTTGCGTGCGAATTCAGATTCGACTGGCCACAAATTTGAAAAAGGCAAATAATCAAAATTGTACTGCAAATATTGCGTTCAAAGTCGTATTGCAATTGCTTTTGAATATTTTGAGGAAACGTTCTTTGTTGATTAATTCTCGTCTAGATATTGTCATAATGCTTCATGGACCGCCAAGCCTCTTGAAATAAATAAGTGAGCAACCCTGAGAAAACGTTCTAAACCGCACGTATTCACCAACACAGCAAGCAATCAAAACAATATTGACATTCAGTGGTTTTTTAAAACAAATAGCTACAAATCTCACCAGATGTTGTGTTTTTCATGCCCGCGGAAGGTGATAACGAAGAGTGGACACTTTGAGTCTGTTTTCTAGTGGTTCCTTCGACTTGTTGTTGGGCGCCTAGAAGCGCGTCGATGCTAAAGCTAGCATTATTTACTGAATCCATACCTCTCATGCAATTGGTATCTGGGGGAAAAATGAAGCATCAAAGAATCAGTTGATATAAAGTTATGTAATGACATACTTAACAGTAGAACGCTGTTAGTGCGTGATGATTCTTCTAGTTAAATGGTAAGAGCAAAAACCTGAAATATGGAGTGCACACAGTCGCTCCAAAAGCCGAGCGCAGATTAAATACGATCCCCTCATCTAAGTCTGTAACAGTACATGTTTTATAGACCTGAACTAAAAAACTGGCGATTTTGATCGTGCAAATCTAAGACCCGGACCGAGCGTCTATAATTTTTCCAGGCTGGCTTCTTAATTTGTTTCGATGATATACGCGAACCAAGAGGCTCGTATGACGCATGTCATCTATCGGTAGTTAATGATATAGAGGTAACAGTCTATGGCTTACTAGAGGTATCTAGAGGTATAAAGGCTTGAAAAAGAAATCGAACTAACTGATTTTAATTCTGTCTTAATTTTAACAAAATGGGTGCTTCAGTTGAAGGCGGCATGGGATTGTTAGCTGCGAAAGTCCATTCTTCGCAAGCTAGATTGCTTTCCTTATTCAAAATCAAAAACTTTATCCACTCCAAAAGCTTCTGTATAATAKCCGTGCGTTTTTACGATCGATTAAAAGCCCAATAAATGGCGTCTTAAAGACACGAGCAAGTTATGGCCTTTACTGGGACGTGTTTCGCTTATCATGAGATCCATCAGTAAACGCTAAATGTATCCTATTGACTTCTAGTGACATTCCACTCCAATTAGCTATCATTTTTTGAGCGGCGTTAAGCTTGAAGAGCGGATAATTCTAAATCCTTTCGATCAGAGGAAATCTTACGYAGCGCAGACAGAATTGTGCTTATTGGTTTGAGTTTTCGTTAAAGTTTGTCAGTTTAAAGATAAAATGCTTCTCGTCTTCGTCTAAACAAGTCTCGATGCTTTTCTCAACCGGGCTTCTAATCAGCCAAACGTTTTGCGTTGTTGATAAATACTTCGGCTTTGCGTTGTTTGATCTACAAAACGATAAAAAGGCTTAACTCTTTCACATAGAAATGAAGAGAAAAAGTGGAGTTTTTATAATAGCTGCTGCAAATGTCTGTAAAAAATTCAGTTTTTGCGCGTTTAATCAAAATTCACACAAATAAAGTGATCCCAAATAAGATGCTGTATACACATCACAAGAATAGCCTTTGAATGGAAGGAACGCATGGCCATTATTGAATAAGTTTTTACCTTGATTCTTTATGGACGATGAGCTGAAGATTCTCAACGCAGCTAGTCCTGTCGCAGTAGGTCGACTGATGGTCTGCAATCTAAGAGTGTTGTGAAGGTGACTTCATTTGTGGACCACATGTGGGCCTTCTTTAAATAAAAAGCATATTGAACGCATTTTAAAATCGCCTGCTACGGAAACAGGAAACCTTTACGAGAAAGCCTTTTTACTCCGACAGAAACAAACTGCACACAATTTGGACGAAAAAAAAAAGCAAAGTAAAATACTTCAAGACTACGTCCAAATTTGTAACAATATTACTTGGAAACAAAAGAATGGGAGGAGGGAGGCTTGTCCTTCATCGACATACTCTTATAATGAAGTTGAAAGAATTTTAAGCGCAGTTTTTAGTCCTTAGGGCAAAAACCCCCCAATTGCGGACTGTCCATGTGTGCTATTGAGAGAGATATATAGCACACACAGAAACGTCTGGGGTAAACAAATCGTACCAAGATGACTCCAACGGTGAAGGGGAAGGGGGCCAAATCAAGTTTTCCAAACACATTTCTCTTAAAAACCACTTCTATTCACAGCTAAAAGGGCTAACGTAGTTTTAATAGTCGAGAAAAGCGGTTTTGTTTGGCTTTGGTCTAAATGATGAGATTATAGCGTGTAAAAGAGTGTTCATTTGGACGACTGTTGGTATTGTCATTAAGATGCTMGACATTTTTGGATCAAGAAGACTCGGGTGAACATTGCTTAAACACAAGACATTAATACACCACAGCTTAACATGATAATGACCACACGATGTGCTGCAATGGAAACAAAATAACGGTGTTAACAGCAAAGACAAAGCCRATTTAAAACCCCTGTTGGCTAGTGGATGTTAAGGGGATTCTGAGTGCAGAACTGACTGGACTCGACGTGAACTTGTTAGAAGAATGCGCAACACTCATGTTCTCTCGAAAATCGGTTTCCAATTTTCTCATAATGGCATACCGATTAGGAGAAGTAGATGATGATGATAAAGCAAGAGTCTTGATAAGATCTTCTTCGGAGGATTACGAAGAATTATTGTCTGTCGATAAGCTGGCAAGACATATTTTTAATGATTTTCATCATTTTTGAGTTTTGACGAGGAAAACATCTGGTACAAAACTGTTCCAGACTCTATAAAATACGAACATTTTAACCCAACGTATATTTCTCCCCCAAAATCATAAAAATATCTAAGTTTATTATTTAAGTCTCAAGGAGATTTTTATTTGGTGTTTATTTGTTTGTCTACTCAATATTTGCGTGTTTGAGGTAATTATCAGTCAGTGGTTGATCATAATCCGTGGAAAACTCATCAGGTCCGCTTATTATGATATCGTAAGCTTTCTTTTATTGTGTAGATTTAAAGAGGTGATTCTTTTGGGTCAACCATTAAATATTCTTTAATACACTCGCAGTTACAAAGAGATAATAAATAAATCGATAGACTTTTCTTGTTTTTTAAACGATTTATAGCGGTACGACACTTGTTAGATCACAATCAGCCGAGGTTGCGCTAATCGTACCGCGGGTTCTCATAATGATATGCGCGCTGCTGCCCGTCAATTGCGAATTGCATGGCAGTTTATACCTGAAGTAAGTTTTCAATTTCGTTTACGCTATTAGTAAATATCTATAAAAAGCTAATTTGATTTTTTTTTTTTTTTTTTTGTTCTGGTGGGCAATCCATGCGTTCAAGTTCTTCAGGTCTTTACTACTTGTATGCGACGGATCAGTCGATGCTTTAGGGAACCGCGGTTTGAAGGCCGGATTTCGGCCGGACCACAAAACGTTCCCGTCAGAGAAAAAGTTACGGAAAGACTTAATATGAGTCAGACTGTGCCTGTGTAAAGATAACATAGGAAAATGATGAATGAATGTTAAACACCATGGAGGAGAAAAATGCTTTACTCTACTGAAGCAGACGGTAGGATTAAATTTAGAAACATCAGAAAGGTAATTTTTCATTTTCATTTTTAAAGCGTATACTGAGTGGAGAAGTTTCATTTTGGTATGGCTTTACCAACGGTTCAACAGCCGTCATGCCTTCCTCAGCTCTTTGGGAGTGTGGATGGGGTTTAACAGATCCATGCCAAAAATTACGGCAGTTAACTGAAAATGGGTGCCCCACAACCCACTAGTATTGAGCCGGCAAAGACCATTAGTTCTTTTAATTGCCTTCTCATGATACTCTAGCCACAATATTTCGATTAGTCTTCGGTTTAGGACGTCTTTGATATTAATTTGATTCATACGCAGTTGGCCAAAAATGCGCAGTCTAGATCTTACGCAAATAACCCGCTTTTATCTTAACCCACACGTTTCCTTACAAACTTTTGCCGGCTATTTTCCGCTTTTCCTGTCTAGATCCTAGATCGAATTCACTTCTTCTTTTTCTTCACTTAAGAAGAAAAACAAATATCATCAGAATATCATTACACTTCTTATAAGTGCTTTATTAATTTCCTGCTAAATAAGAATATTTCCGTCAGAACAGGTTTTGTTCTGTTTATCCCTTAAGTCAATATAACTTCAAACTCTAAATAGCGTTTTTCTTTTGATAACAAGAATTTTAAATCGATTAAGATCAGTTCAAAAAGATAACAATGTTGTTTTTTTAAAGTTTAAATTTGTTTTACATTAAAATGTTTTCTTTATAAATTTGTTTCAATACTTCGCACTTTTAATTCAGCTTTGTGTTATAATTAGTTTTTACAGGACCTTATCGAACTGAAAAACGAAAAAACATCCTTTTAAAATATCATTAACAAATACGTAAACGTTTGGGTGTTCAAGATGACGCTTCGATGATTTTCGCGTAACTTAACATTATAGTGCGATTACGGCATTTTATCCCACTATCCCGATCAGCCTCTCGAGAGAGAGGGTGCCATAAGGGACGGACCGTTAGATAATTGAGGGGGAGGCGGGACCTCTGTAAATTCCCCAAAAAATAAAAGACCAAGCAAGCACTTCACCTAAGAAACAAATATCGCGCAACATCTTCTTTTAGAAAAAAAATATCGWGCAACATAAATTCCTGCAACCCCGGCCCTTCAATTTTCTAATGATCCATCCCTTAGTAGTCTGAATCTATTCATATAGAGGTTGTCGTCCTGGACAGGCAATCCTAAATCGATTCAAGTAACTTCAACAGCTAGCAACCATCGCTTTCATTTTTTTCCTTCATGTTGATAATTGATGAGTTATCTAGATATTGACATCGACTTGCCAGAATGTTCTAGAAATCGTTCTCGATGGAGAGATCTAGATAAATTTCTAAATTCCAATTGGGATCTGTGGAATCCACTGTTAATTCCTATAATTATTTATTCATCTTATCCCAATTTGATTGCATGACCAAGGCCGTTGAAATATGTACATGAAAGCGTTCCGACATGACCTGCACGCTCCTATTCTGGTCAGCCACACAGCGGGCCCTTCTTCTGTTCGTTGTTTTTCTTCGAAAGGAATGACCTTTCGGGTGTGCCAACTAATTGTAGCCATAAGTTGGGACTATTTAGAGGTGTTTAGACACGTTGATTCAATGCTCCCTTAAACAACACACAGATACTTGACAAACTTTACTAATAGTCACCTGATACAATCACGTGATGGTATCATCCTCATAGAGACCAATGTATAATGCAAGACATCTTTTTTAGATCGGTAAACTGAAGAAAGGAATTCTCAGTATGATCACATGTGGGTTTTATTGAAGCTCCTGTCTAAGTCTTTCTCTTGTATAATTTAGCCCAAGGCTAAACCGGGTAATCGTCTTTCCATGTGCCCTATTTTTCATCCATTTGCGCAAATCACGAGCTATTTAGAGATATCACGGCTGCTTCGATCATAATCTTCAACAAAATCTTTCTCCACAAGGAGACTAAGACGACGATTGACCAGTTGGTTTAATATCTAAATAAATTGAAGGGACTCTGATGGCGGGGTGTGTGTGTGTGTGTTGCTGGTGAATCGATGGTCAAATATCTACACAGCAAGAAAGCATAGCTGGAGTTGACTGTTAGACGTTGAGAGTATCGCCGACTGAATGGTTCCAATTATGATCCATTGAACGGCACGTCCTTTTAATAGAGAACTCGTAGCGTTTTGAATAATTGGATCACAGCGTGGTAGAGTGTTCTAAAAGCCGCTCAAGCTAGAGTTCCCAATAAGGCAAATTTTTAGCGGTGCCACTTTAATGAGCATCAGTTCAACGTTTGGTTCTCTTAGCAATTTAGAGAAATGATTTAAAAAACTATACATCACGATAGGGTAACTCATGATAGATTTACGCAGGGTAATTTTTATCCAGACCCTTTCTAGATCGAATTAGAATTTAGATAAGTGGCATATGTCCTGAATAGCCAAATATTGGATTTAGGTTTAGACATTGATTTAGTAATAAGTGTGGTAGACAGACGAATGACTCAAATAGTGGGTGGGACCTAAAACAGTCAACCTTGGGTGGTATTAAATGCATCGAAAGGGGAAAAAACACTTTGAGAGAGAATACTAGCATTATGTTTAGGCCTGCAGTTTAACATGGAATGCGCGCGCAGTTGGAGAAAGCAACGTGAAGGTACTTTCTCTGATAAATAAATAATTAATATTATTTATTAATATTTTAATTCTAGACTTGAATATAGAGTTTCGCGCGCTGTGACTGGTCGAGTGGTGATTATGGTTTTCCTAAGTTTTCCAGATCGTTTTTTATTTTTTAATCCTGAATTTCGTCTTTTCTCTGATATTCAAGTCTAAAATTATACTAAATCAATTATTCCCTTCAGGCTCAGTGATTATGATGAGTATTTATCTTGCCACTCGAAGAAACGGGGCTCGGTAAATATTCACCGATAATCACTTCGCCTTTGGTGAATAATTGTTAATCATTATTTTTTTTAAAATATTGATCTGGTGTAGTGAGCATCGCGATTCTTTTTATCGAAGTACTTTCAAATTTGCCAGACTTACTAATATTGAGTTGCTTTCTCAAATGACAAAAAAATTTTTTTGCTAATTAGTTTGAATTTAATACTCATCCAAATCCCCTTGTTTGTTTATGAAATGACACTTAAAGCTTTAAAATAAAAATTAAGAGGAAATTCTTAGACTATCTATGTTTTGTAGATATTAAAATCATGAGAGATTGTTGGTACGCTTTTAAAGTTTCCTCCGAGTGACCTTTTTATTGAGGTCTGAATGCACTMATTTGAATATTAGTTGATCAATGACAACCAAAAAGATAGTAAACTAAATACCATCTTTGAAATAGACCTCTTTACATTGAACGTAATGTTTTCTAATTTCAGACCACGTGTCATTCCCTAGAGTATCATTTTTTTGCTTAACTCTTTTGATGAAATAGACTTCTTTAGCTTGGACGTAATGTTTTCCCATTTCAGACCACGTGTCATTCCCTAGAGTATCATTTTTTTGCTTAACTCTTTTGATGAAATAGACCTCTTTAGCTTGGACGTAATGTTTTCCCATTTCAGACCACGTGTCATTCTCTGATTCTTTGTTTGAATTGTATCCATATTCATATCTTTTCTAACCGTTAAACAAAGAAATGATGCTCTAGGGAATGACACATAATCTGGAATGAGAAAACATTACGCCCAAGGCAAAGAGGTCTAATAAAAATAGAAGACAGAGTTTATACTCAAGTACTTTAACGTTAAAAATCATTTACAGAGGTGCGGTTTCTTCGCTAACAATAAAGGAAGATGCAGAACGACGATTCGCCGTTTTAATTTACGGACAATTCACTTTTTTCGAGACGAGGATCTTGTTGATCCCCGCACTGACTGCTGGGACGGGGAACGTGAGTGCCCCGTTGAAGTCTGGTTACCGGGACGTTTCGAATCCTTACTGCTGATTGGTCGATCTGAAGGAGTCTGGTGACCAGCGGAGAGCGTACTATTGGCACTCGCTCGTGATGCAGATCTTTCCAGTGCGCGGATTCGTTCAAGAGCTTGTTTCAGTTCAGTTTCTGTTTGAATTGCTTTTTCTTCAGCTGCCTGAGCACGCTCTTCGGTTTCTCTGTAGAAAATTCCAGAATTTAGTTATTTTTCTTCCTTTAATAGTCCCTATGTAATAGTAAAATCTCTTATACGAGAGTACYTCGTGCGAGTGTGATCCTGGTTGGGCTGCCTGTGCTTTATTCAGGGCGCGTGAACTATTACGAAGACGAAGGACTTTGCTAAAGTCTACTCCACTCACATGTGATAGCGAGTCCAAAGATGGGACTTACGAACATAGCTGTTAGAGGCGGTACATTGGCAGCCCACTCACGATTCCCTTTTGAAGATATAGAAAACGTGCGCGCGTGCTGTGTGCTGTTATAAAGCACGCGGGGGTTGGCAGAACCCGAGAGACGTGTTAAGACAAGCACGACGCGTAGCGGAGTGCTTCTCGACATTTCTCGAGTGTTCTGCCAATCCCCAAGTGCTTTAAAACTCCAGACAGCACTCTAGCAAGTTTTTTCTTTTTTTCATAGAATGCAGATTTCAACAAACGTTATTTTGGATAGGAATGACGCAACTGAAAGTGCGCACGCGTGCTGTGTACTCTCATAAAGCAGGCGTTCTCAACCAATCAGAACGCGAGATTCATAAGAGTTATTTTATAAAAGACTTTAGTTTTAGCTTTAGTAAGCTAAGGAAGGAGGTATGAAACTTACAAGAGCTGTGTTTGAAGTCTTTCAACTGCTGCCAAAGCTTCTAAGGCTTTCTTAGTATCAGGTGTAGGAGATCGATCTGTGAACGACACAACAGTCATATATGATCCTTCTAAGTTTAGAATGAAGGCGTCAAGCAATGTAGCCATGCTAGTTTGTCATTAAAGATCCCAATGAAATGGAACGTATATATCTATATCTATACACTCAATGTCATTAACGTTGTCCACCGAAAAAAGACATTTACACATTTACACATTTACACGTTTACACGTTTACACGTTTGCACGTTTACACGTTTACACGTTTACACGTTTACACGTTTACACATTTACACGTTTACACATTTACGCATTTACACATTTAGACTAAAAGAAATATCACGTTTCATTATGTATTCTTTGCCTCGTGTGCGTCAGCCTGAACTTTAAATGTAAAATTCAACTCGTGAATTGAAAATCCAGAATGACCCGACCATTTAGTGAGGATTTAAGATAGAGAATGGTATTTCAGCGTTTGTTTTAWGCCAGAACATTCGAGGAAACGCTTGATATTTCTTTTAGTCTAAATGTGTAAATGTGAAAATGTGTAAATGTGTAAATGTGAAAATGTCTTTTTTCGGTGGACAACGTTAATGACATTGACTGTATATATAATAACAGAATTGAAAGCTTACCAGGTAACGCTTCGCTTCCTTGGACATCAAGAGATCCCATCTCCTACAATATTTCAGTAAAACATATGTTAGATGCAGCTTCAATACAAAACTTTCGACTCTTGGAAACATCGCATGGCGCCATATTTATTCCCACGAGAACAAAAAAAACTTTTTTTAACCTTGCATAACCTCATCTTGAACCGCTTGAATACGAGGCCACGCGGGGTAAATATTTTTTCGAGGGAGGGGAGGGAAGGGGTGGCATCTACGCAGGCGACAAGATTATCAAACCCGGAGCTTTAATGAATATAACTTAACTTACCTGATCAATAGGTAGGTTATCAAGAGACTTAGTTCGAATATTATCATCATGACAAAGGACATGCATCTTAGATCCCTCATCATTCTCGTCTTCATTCTTTTCTTTCTCTTCGTCCTCCTCCCGTGTTTTGTCTCCTTCCTCTTGGACCCCCGAGGGAGGCCGATCAGTATCGGCTGGACGTGGTTCCGGTGTGGTGGGCATCTTAGTGGGTTCGGGAGTTGGCGTCCCTTTAGGGGTGGGGACAGTAGGTTTGTCACTGTCTGATTTAGTTGCTCTTCCGTCGTCTGATTGTACGGCTGAGGCTTTGCCGTCTTCAGGTGGCTGGAAAATAAAACCAAATATCTTGTTCAATATTAGGAAAAAAGGCATGTTATCCAAACTCTTCACCATTTACCTCTCCCACTCCCTCTCC